AATGTCACTGATGTATGGAAAGCCTCTGTGGTATATTAAATCTAAACCAGGCTCCTTGTGGAGGGTAAGTGACAGAAATATGGCTCATTTTTTATTGTGTTTTGGTGACCTCTTTTCTCAAGCACATCCAACTGTGCTACTTCTGATACAAGGCATTGTCTCAGCCCACAGTGGGCATCGTCAGGGGGGTGGAGTCCAGGGTGGGCAGGCTGCCCATCTCCTGTACCTCAGCAAAGCTATGACAGCTATTCCAGGCTGCCAAATCCCACCAGCAGCTCTGGTTACGTGCGCGACAGGGGCGGCTTCCCGTCGGACCACATCCAGGTAAACTGTCAAATCCAACTTCCCCCGTTGACCAACAGCGGCCTTTAGAAGGCTTTTATCCTTCACCTCCGGCTGTCCTCTTTGTCCCTCCCCTGGGATCAATACTCAGAAAGAGGGCTAAACTCACTCGTCCGCTCTGCGCTGCAATGACATACGATCAAGCAAAAGCCGGAGTAGTTATTCTGGGAAGCTGTCATAATGAGGACTGTAACATGCTTCCCAGAAAGTGAAACGCAGTTACGTAGTTTCATGCAAATTATTTGAGGTAAAACTTCTTCAAGGTGCAGAATTCTCTCACTACTGAAGTCCATGTGTCACAGACCTTACGACAACTAAGAACTGCACATTCTCTAAATATTTAAGATGCCAATCTCCATTAAAGATACAATATTATGATCAAATTAATCACCTCTCATTGATTCTACAGTATAAGATCACAACCAAATTTAGTTTTTAGTGCAATGGGAAAAAAAATCAAGACAGACCAAATAAACTCCACCACCCTTTGAATCCATGATGCATTAGCATGGAAACTCAACGGCCCATAAAAAATAGATTTCTTTAGGTATATTTAACTGTATTCTAAACATCCTGTCCTTGCCCCTTATTGTTCCTGAAATAAAGCTAAACTGTAGACACTCTGCTATTTTGAATCTCAAAGCAACTTGAAAACGGGGGAAACTGTGGGAATCAGTAAAACACCAATTTAGGACTACATGCCTCATTAAATGAAATATTATATAAGCTTCTGTCGTGCAGCAGTGCATTTGCTCAGCTTCCTCTTATAATACTGAGACTCCAAAGCAGAGCCACACACCTCACTGAAAAAACTGCAATTGAGTTAGCAGGCATCGCTACTCCTGCATAAAATAGGATATCCAAGCATATACTGTAGAGCTAGTTTGGTTTTGATAGTCTTGCACAGTGATTTTGGATCTTCCCCATCTATTAAGGAATGAGTAGGTTACATTTGTACTTAACCAAAACTTTCATCTTTCAGTATGACACTTCACCAACATCATTATTAAACCTTTTTCAGCATTTCCTTATCTGGAAAACCAAAGGGTATATATTTCATAAATAATTCGTCACTAAGTTTATGAATTTCTCCAACGTTATCAAAAATGAGCAAGGTACCCAAAGTAATTCTAAAATCCAAAACTAGCCATATGTGTTTTATGAGTAATTTCTCTTTACAAATTATTAAAAACAAAGGCCGCCAGGCAATAACCACAGTTTGTTAAAGTTTACTGAAAATGCTATTGTAACAAACTACAAACCCACCGATCGCGATCGAGCGACTCCGTGAAATTAATGTCCGTGTGATTAAGTAATATCTTTCGTTTCCTTCTTTACGTAATTATTAATGAACAGTATGACATTTATAGCATATTTTCTCTTAGAAAAAGTTGTGATAAACGTAACAAAGATGCTTATAATGCATGCCAAAGTAAATTATCATCAATATTATCTGCTGTAAGCGGACCGAGCCGCGCGTACGATGCAGGAAGGCTCGCCGCCTGCCAGAGTACCCGTTCCAGACACTCACGCCGCGTGCCTTGGCTACTCCCGCAGACGACTCAGCTGCCGAAAATACAAGTGTATCACATAACTCATTTTATATTTAATGACTAGTAACAGCGCGTTTACCCTAAAGACGTGTGTGTGGGGGAAGGAAAGTGTTTGTGTTCGAATTGTCTAATTTTGTCATTTAGCACAGTGAGACGTCTGTTGAGAGAACGGTGCCGCATGTCGCTGAGGTGATTTCTGCACGTCTTAGGGGGATAAGCAGGGAAGCATTTTCTATGTTTCTCTCAATTTTCCCCCTTGTCCAAGTTTACTTTTTCAGCACATAATTTTGAGAAAATAAATCTTCCTCGATAAGCACTCCTTAAAGGAGCCCATTGTTCAATCAAGGCCTTGAATCCTTGTCTGCTTTTAAGAATATTTTAGAAAATAGCACAAACCCGCGGTGTCTAACTGCGAATTACCATCAGACCTGGCTCAAGACACCTCTTTTTCCTTGAAGTCAAACCTGGAATTATACAATATGAAATGAAATGCTTTTCAAAAGGGGTGGTGGCAGGTAGCAGATGAGCCACCCTTACACCCCAACAATGCAGAACATGCCCACGTGGCTCAGCGTGAAGATGGGGGTTCAAGAGGCTGATGGGTCTGCATGTCTGTCACTGTGTCGCTGGAAGAGAGTGCAAGCCTGGTCGCGCTCGCACTGCACGCTTCCCACTATCGCCAGACAAAAGGTTCCCGCTGCCACTTCTTACACGAGGGTCCTGTGATGGCGGAGAGGGCCTGAGGGGGCTCAACACCCCAAATGGCACTGAAAATAAACGAAGGAATGGGAGCCATCTGAGTGGCGTGCACAGGGGTGACTGGCGGGAGACAGGTGTGTGTGTGTGTGTGTGTGTGCGTGCGTGTGCGTGTGTGTGTGTGTGTGTGCGGGGGGCATCACGACGCCAGCACCACACTGCAGTGGCACGCCACACGGCATTGTCCACTGCCATTTTTAGCCACTATGAGCAGACCGCAGACAGGTGGCAGAAGCGTTTAAAGCTGTTCTTAAAGAGAGAAGGCAGGGAAAGGACATGAAAGAGCCTGGAGAGGGAGCCCTCAGGGTTCTTATGAAACACACAATGCCGAAGGCTCAGCCATGAGGCTGCCCCCAAGGCTGGGAACAGTGTCATGTGCAGCAGGTGCCGTCTATGCTGGAACACCAGAGCCCAGCCGGATAAACGGACCAGGTGGGGACAGGGCCACAGGAAGGTGACATCAGTGCTTTTGTCATCCACAGTGGAACTATCACAAACCAATCAATTAAAGGTGCATTGCTCAAAAATGTCACCTTTTTTGCCTTTTTACATAATGGTGTTCCTAGAACTAGAAAAATCTAAACAGCAAGACTGAGCTTTACAAGAAAAAAAGATAAAAGCCTGCACTACTGTATGTGGACGATGCTGTAAAAGGCTCTCACATGTAACAATGGGAAACCCTCACAGTGACTGCCAAGTATACCTTAATTAGTTAGCAGGGACCTACCAGACAGTTAACAGCCAGCTGCCCATGGACATTTCCAGTTAGCACAGAGGTGTGTCAACTCCTGCTTCTGTGGTTCCCACAGGTCTGGTCCACTGGGGCCCAGAACAGACACATACACTTGAAGGAAACACCTCCATAGACTAACTACTTATTTAATGGCTGACACCTGGGAGCAGGCTGGGAAACAGGTGGGGACACTAGCTATTGGCACCTTGTAGCTGTTACATCTCATGGACCATGGCAGCAATTATTCACCCCAGAAGTAAAACAGGAGGCTTAAAATAATATTCTAGGTTGAAGCAGTTTAGTTAAATTATTTTTAAAAGGCATTGAAGCACTGTGACATTTACACAGGTAATAATTAACACTAACATAATGTATTGCATTTACACATTTACATCTTTAAAAGCCAACAGAAACCAGGTGCACTGTGTGACTAAAATGTAGCCTGTTCCCACACGATGTCCCACAGGCAGCCTGTCGGTGCTGCTGTGTGGGACCCTTGTTATCATGCAGTGACAGCCACCCACCAGCAGTTCTTGTGCCCAAGAATGCTCCCAGTGCCCTGGCCTGCTATTGGAGCAGCCCACAAAGTTGGGCCAGTTCTGTCAGAGGGCTTAAATGCATCTACACCTGTCGCAGCAAGAGGGTAAGCATCCCTTGTAGACTGGAGACAAAAACAGTTCCTCACCATGAGGAAAGCATTACCAAACTCCCATGAAATCTGGTACAGTATGTCTACTAGTTGCCAATCTTATAAAAGTTGAAGGCTGAGACATTCTAGTGTACTAAACCCACCCTCGTCTGCATTACACTTCAAAAACAGTGCATAAAAATGATTTATATTACATTTATTACAATGTTTTTTCACAGCAAAGAAATGTACTATGGCTGGATGGTTGCCCTGCTTATTTCAGTGATAAAACACAAGCTAAGCCCCCCGCTCCCATTGTGAACAGTTACCAAGATTTGTCGAAAGCCCTGAAGGTAACAGGATCAAACAAATAAAACATTTCCATAGCGGCAAAATTAATCACAAAAGCTATAAAAGTTGCTGCCAACACAGCCACAGACCTTTTGCTTTACCTTCAAAAAAAAAGCTAAAGTGCTAAAAGATGGCTTATAATAACCAACTATGATGCTAGTGCTCTTTAGGGGGCAGGAAAGCTTTAATCCCCATTAACCCCCTATGCCAGTGTTTCTCAACCTGGGCCTCGGGGACCCCCAGACAGTCCACTGGGAGCTGGCAGGGATCAAAAATGTGTGCTGTCTGGTAGGGACCTGGGAAGGAGCAAAGACATGGACTGGAGGTCCCTGAGAACTGGGTTGAGAAACACTGCTCTAAGCATTTGAATTACCGTCACATTGTTTCCAGCTGAACTTTGAATCCAGTGCACACAGTGTCACAGGGACACATGTACACAAACACACATTTATCTGATCTGAAGATGCTTCTATCGAAAACCGCCCATTCATATGATACTTGCATATGCATATTACTGAATTGATGCACTGGCCCACCTTACAGTCAAACAAAAGCAGACACAAAGGACCATGCATTAGTAGCTGTTATGAGACAGGAGCAGTGTGCAGTGCTCAATACCAAAGGGATCGCAGCATACCTGGTGGGCAGATGCAGCTCTGTGGGGCGTCTCGTGCCTCTCGGACCCTGGGAAGCCGTGCAGCCAGCTTCTGTGGGGGGGGAGAGGCAAGAAGTGCATATTCAGATGTCAGCACCTCATGCCTGGCAGTGTTCAATATTGAACAGTTTTGAATACCAAATTAAGTATTTGTTATTTACTTTTTACTCTTGATTAACACAATTTGCAGAACCTGTGCATCAACACCCTAACTCATCAGTCTTGCATTACCAGAAGCCTCAATAGGGTAGACATTTATAGCCCCACTCAAAATAAATACCACAAAGGGTTAAGTCTTGATTTGTATCAAATCCCTCCCCCCCCCACCCCCACCCCCACCCCACGAAGCTTGGTAAGTAAAGCATGCTGAGCAGTGGCTCACTGACGGCCTGATTGGGGTGGGCGTCCTGTGAATGCCATCAGCCGGTCAGGAGCCAGCACGGCTGCGTGCTCTGCAGGAGCCCCTTCTGGGATGGATGCATAGCAAAAAGTTCAAGAGGAAAGCAGACTATACAGTGGCCTTGGAACGGCAGCTCTAGCCTCACATTGAAGGAGTTAAACCTAGAGTAACATCCCGTTCTGGGATGTGATCTCACTGCTGTGTGCTGCATGTGCCGAGACTGAGCTCAAAGCTGGATCCCACCAAGCTTGCTTTTCTTTCTCTATTTTCCCTCCTTCTGTTCTAGATGTTTTTCAAGCATTTATATTAAAAGGTTTTCCCACCCACCGATCTATAAAGAGACGTAGATCTCCCACAAATAATTCATCAAGATTTACTTCATTTTTACCAACCAGCCTTCATTCCAGTTAGAGGGATCTTTTTTATAGAGAACCCAGAGTGAACTGGTCTCACACATGATCTGTCCACTTTACAAGTTCATGTCATGGGCATGGCCTGAAGGGCTCGGACTGGGTGTCCATAGTCAATTTACAAAAAAAAAAAAAAGTCTCAATGAACTAAAAGCACCTGACTTGGTTCGCTAGTTAAAGAAAATAAACCGTAGTATGTATGTCCAACCTGAGAATACGATATAGACATCATACAGTAGATCTACCTGAATTTTGGTGCATTCACACACAATACGGAAGCTATCATCTGGCCATAGACCACGCCTCGACTGTGTTAACTAGCTCCCTTTCATTGCCACGTCTTTCTGTAGACAAGTTTGCTGTTAGTGCAGTTGGTTGATAAGTAAAAAAAAAAAAAAAACTGGCAAACAGATGTGACCTGTAGTTAGGCAGTGTGCAGGTACAGTAACAGTAGCACTGGATGCTGCAGGGTAATCAGTGCTTTACAGTGTAGTGTATGGGCTACATGATATTACACAAGCCTCTCCCCAGAGAAAAAAATCATCTATGAACAAATATCCAATTAGTAGGTAGCTGTTGTCGTAATTAATAGTAGGCAACAGGAGAGTCCTATGATGATGTAAACGATGTTGGTACCGAAAGGCAGCAGCTGATGGGGGGGGGGGGTGTACAAGGGTAGAGGGCGGAAGGGGAACATTCCCCGCCTCTCTGCCTCCCCTCATTATTGGTAACCTGACCTCCAAGGTTTTGGTCTGGTTTTAACGTTCTATTTTAAAAGGATTACAAAACATTTCACAATACCAGCGTCACATTATAACTAAGACACCAGTCTTTTGCAGTTGGAGGTCCCTCTGTTGAGCAACAATGAGTTCAATTCCCCTCCTATGTAAGGCTTCTGGGTTACTTTGGGGAGGGGGAGAGGTGCTGTTCTGGAATATTCTGCAGGAATGCACATTATGAAGAACAGCCAGTGCTACCGTAATCGCTATCAGCTGCTTTGAACCTAAGCAATGACTCATGTCTGGAGCAGCAGCCTGCGTGGACATCTGGCTGCAGGTCTGGCCCTCAGCAGAAAGATGTGTTCTTATCCATACAGTAGGCAGCACACGACAGAGAGGCGCAATCTAATGTGTATACGGGAGGCGGCACACGGCAAAGAGGCGCACTTTAGGTGTACTGTAATCCCTATGTCAGAGGGCTCAATGCGGAGAGGTGCTTTAACCAGAATTAGATCGATCCACATTTTTCAGTTTCAATCCGATTCACAACTGCCAATACCAATACAGATTCCAATATAATAGCTTTCTACTTTAATATTACCATTACTCCATTAGCGGCACACCGATCCAACTTTTTCAGCGCCCAAACGATCTTTATACCTGAACATAGGGTATCAGCCGATATATAAGAACTGATTTGATACCAGAGCTATTTTGTTTAAACTAGTAAGTACAAAAGAAAAAAGTACGCCAAAAAAGCTGTGTTAGACATCTAGAAACATACATAACGTACTGTTCTACCTCGATTATTCATCTTGTTTTAAAGGTTTTGACGCTTTTGCAGTTTAATCTGAATATCTTCAAAGAGATTATACAAAATTTGTGAAGGCTTAAGATGCCCCACAATTTTTCTCCCACTGGCAACAGCGTCATTTACACTTCGTTGTAATAGCAGCTCAGCCCTGTATCACATGCTGTAGCGAGCATGTAAGACAGCTTAAGTTAGCGACTCCCACATCATTCATTGCGTTGTCTCACATAATTGCGCATGCTTTGCTTAGTGAGATTTTCCACTAAACGCTACTTTCATCTCTCAAAACTTTATTTTTACAAAGATTGCAAATTGTTGTGCTACTACATGTTGTTCAAAAACGTAAAATCCGATGTTCTTATGCTCCTCCTACTGCTAAGGGTATGCACAGGACGTCACAGCAGGCGGAGCTCACTGCACTCACACGGACTGGCAAAAAAGAATTGAGTGGCACTGTTAACATTCAACTTGAATGCCGTAAAATATAACATCTAAAACGGGAAAAAGATGTTGTGCGATTGATTGTACAAATTGATTTTACCGACTGCCGAAAACTAAATAAGCAAGTATCAGATGTGGATCGGTCCCGTATGGCTGAAACAGGTGCGCTCTAATGCAGATGGCAGAGGGCACATGGCAGAGAGCCCCACTCGAATAGATTAGGATGGTAGTACACAGTGGAGAGGTGCAGTCTAATGCATTAGGGTGGTAGTACACAGTGGAGAGGTGCAGTCTAATGCATACGGCAGCAGGCACATGGAGGAGAGATGCGTTCTCTAGCTCCTCTCCAGCTGGAAATGAGGGAATAAAACCACCACTGTACATTTAATGACAGCTACACAACAAGACTTGCGGGTAGTAATTAAATGACAAGGTTAAGGCTTATTACTCTGTGTTCAAAGAAACCAGAGAGACAACAATTACAAATTAGGAGAATACAGCTTGTGAGGCCAACTTTTTAAGTGATGGGTTCGGTGAAGTACAACCTCAAACTGAGACTGTGAAAATTATAGTGACATCTTGCCTGTTGGGCTGCACGTGTTTTTGGATGGGTCACATGTTAAGCACAAAGCCCAGGATTTGATATGGGGAGTGTCCCGACAATTTGTGACGTTGCTTTTTAATTTGCAATTCGCAGAATATGAGGTTAATAGGAGAAACAGCTGTGAGGACGTACAGGACAGAACAGGGAATCTGAAGACCCACAGTGTCAGAGGACCCCTCTTTCACCCAGTGTGTGTTTGCAGCCCTTTCCTCTGCGGTTTATCATATGTATTATTTCACATCAGCTTTTTATTCCGGACAACAATCGCCTGTTAACAGTTTGTGGCAAGTCATAACATTGCCGAGTCATTTCCAGGGACTAATGGCTTGTTTTCGCTGTTTTTATCATTGCGGATAATTGGCCTTGCAGTCACGTTCTCCAGATCTAGAACACAGTTTTGTTTAGAACATGCTACAGGACCATTCGGAGATCTGGAAAATCTATTCAGGAAAACAAGAAGAATTGACCTATGCCAGGACATTAGTTTGTGATTTTAACATTAATTTCTCAACACACAGCATGTATTAAAACAAAATCAAAATAATGTACACCTTTTAAAAATAAGTACCAGCAGATGCATCTTCTTTACACCAGGGAAAACCATTTTCAAAAAAATAATTCCCAGAATTTAAACCTCATCACATACCCTTCTTCTGAAAGAGACATGCTTTGATACAGCAGAGCCAAGATGGCACTGGACCTGCTCCCAGAGTACATTTTAATAACCTTCCCCTTATTAACACACAAAGCGTTTATCCCTGCCATTCGCTGGCTGCGCTGGTTGCCCTTGCAATAGCTGCAGTGTTGGGACTGGGCCGGGCCCACGAGTGGCCCAGAGCCACTCAGCACCAGAGATGGACTGGGACCCCCTGTCCACGAGGCCAGGATGTAGATTTCTCCCTTTCTTCATACGTGCTGAAACATGGGGTAAAGTTAAACTAAGCACGAAGAAGCCATGGAAAAGGTGCTGATTTAACCCAAGAGGACCATCCTGCGACTGATTGTTGATTTTAAAGAGGCGAGACAGCAATGCATTCTTGGGAGCTGCCATATTTCAGGAGTGAAGTTAATATCCCTAGGACCTCATTTCCTGCATTTGTCACCCACGATTTGGCACCATAAGTGTAATATTTCACTGCACTTATGCCTCTGTTTCACCTCCCAATCATTAGGGTGACACACCTCTGCAGCAGAGCGCACAGAGCACAGATTCTGTTTTACAACACCTTTAATGCAATGCGAGCAGTAATACACAGAAAAACAGGAGTGGACGGCCCCGTCTTTACTGCTGCAGCCCCCCCAGTGTGTAATGGGCCGAAGCGTGTGACGTTCGTGACACTTCATTATACGTGAGTTTCTTGTTTCCATGCAGGAAGAAGGGTCAGCATGCATGCCATGTCTCCAGTGAGCTTTTTAAGAGATTGTGCACAGAATTCACAGCTCACTTTATTGTCCAAGTTCACTATACAGCTGTGTGTGGTCACTCAATTCCCTCACCCCCTGCTAACATCAGAAAAACTCCCCAAACAAGACTTTAATACAGGTGAATAGGGCACACATTACATATGTATGCATCTTAAAATGGGTGTGCTGTATACGTAAACACAAATGAGTCCTGAAACGTCATGGTGTGAAACAATGAAGGCCATCTGTTATTGTGTCACATTAATAATGGGTATTCACAAATCCACTCCCAAATGAAAGCCTGAATCACAAAGCTCCACAGTCACATCCACTAAAACAAAGTCAGTGCTCTTCTGGCTGGGCCAAAACACACTGAACACCGCATGCACGAGCATGTGTAAGCAATGGCAATCTAGAGTGATGCCCCTCAGAGGGAAGTGTGGCACTGCACCTTGACCAGTAACATTTCAAATGCAAATTACCCAGCCACTTTCAAACCACTTTCAAACAATGGGCTGACTTCACGTGTGAATTATACAGCTGCATCACCATCCAACTTTCTGCATTGTTTCATTGCTGCGCACGCCATAGCTTGAATGCTGATCATCATAAGAAATAGATGTGGCACAATCCCTGTGGCATGAACAAAATGGGTTGCCCTAGGTGTACAAAACCCTAAAAATTGGGGCACGTTGGAAATAAGATTTTGAAATAATAGATGTGAAACTTGTGTCACAGTCCTTTACACAGCTACCGTTTCGTAGGGAGCACTTATCTTTACATAGTACCATAAAGCATACCTCTTAAAAACAGCTGTGGGCTACCTCCCCCACACACACAAACAGAAAAAGAGAAGCTGAGTGCCGTTCCTCTGTCTTCAACTGATAAGAAACATTTGAGAACAATTTTAGTGATTATCAGACAGACTGAATTGAAACCAAAAAGTCAAATTATTCCTTCTTTTGAAACAATTACGTGCCCCAGCCACTCCAAAACACGGTGGCACGAGTAGCTACAACAATTTACATGAAATTAGCCGTTGTACTTAATTGGTTTAGTGGAACATATCAGGCATATGTAATTATTGACGCCCACGTCAATTAACCAAAACGTCACGCGATTTTAAAATTATCTATAAAAATGATCTATAATCTATAAAAATCTAAAATTATCACGTGCCCTCTAACGGATGACTTTAACAGAATAAGTGACTGTTGACATTAATACAACATTTGTTACCTTATAAATGAATTATAAATTACTTTAAATTCTAACGTATTTCTTTTAGCAAATACCTGCAATAAATATGTGTCAGTACATAATGCACAATTCTTCTTTATATTACGATTTCTCAGCAGAGATGACATATGGGAGAGTTACATCTATATTGATAAAAACACATAAGTCTATACGTCGAGAAGTGACAGCGCTTTTAAAAATCTATCTAAATGCAGTAACTTATATAGAGGGCGTTCAACGAATTACGTGGAAGTGCACACAACCAGCAAACAGGTGCCGGTTCAACGAAAACACCTTAGAGTCAGTCGGTACACTTTCACAAAATGTAAAAGTAATCTTTGTGAATTTGATTTAAATATATTGCTCTGGGTCCCTTGTGTAATACGCTATAAGCAAAGTATACGTTAGTGCAGGTGAACGTGGGGAACCGCTTACCTCTTCTAAAATTTGGTCGAGTCTATCTATAATCATGGGCTCCACCTGATCGCCCGAGAACCACGCCGAAGGCCGGCTGTCCCTGTCCTTTTCCAGATTTAAGAGCCTATGCTGCAATTCCGACGTCTTCAGGTACACAAAAACGCATACTCCCAAAGAGAGCAGGGAGAGCGCGCAGCACGCCGCCACCCAGGGTAGGTCTCTGAAGCTCCTGTGGAGGCGATGGTCACAGGGATGCTCGCTGCAGGTCCTCTCAGTGCTGGACCGGGAAGCTGCCCGACACTTTTGCTCTTCCATTTCCCCCACCTTAACTGCGGCACTTTAATTGTTTATCCACAACGAATTCCCAACACTCATTAGGAGCGAAATGAAAAAATACAAAGTCAAATGTTCTGAGGTGTCTAACTTCAAAAAGGTATGGCGTCAACAAGTTGGTGCTGTTTCCACACACAGACTACTTAAATATAGTGAAATGAATGGTTGCATTTAAAACAGACCCAGCATTCTGTAAATTTGATCGAATTAAATTCTGCACGACTTGAAAACCTTGTCTATTCATCCGCAGGACTGTAGCAATTTGTCGTTGGTGCGGAGCAACGATACACGTCCAGCACCCACGGCTCAACCTCCGTGAGACTCCTGCACTGCCTGAAAGAAGAAACATTAGCCCTAGAAGTGGCGTGGTTATCGTGAGTCTTCTGCTCTGCTGAAGGGGCAGGCTCCTCCCTTTCGTTTATTTAGTCTAAATGTCGGGGCGGGATTCTCGCCGTAGCTGCTCCCCCTCTTTGATCCAGCGCTGACCGTAGGATATTTATAGGGGCAGATGCCAGAATCTGAAGGGGAGAGCATGCTAACCCCTTTATTAGCGCAGCGTTTGACTGTCCTTATCCAATGCGAATTTATATCCAACTCTATGACACTGCAAAGCTGCAGTTAGTCAATTACTAATGGCGCATGCTGTGTTTTTAGATCACTCGTTTTATATAAGAAACTGTTACTGGAGCTTTTTAATGTCATTTTAGCTGAATTACTTTGATATGAGAACCAGGTATCACACTGCCTGTAAAGGTTCAAATTTTACTGCTGGTCCCAAATATAATGTTAGGTAAATGTGCTTTAATATGTAAGTCATGTTTAGAGATGCAACAACAAGCTAGCTATAAAAAATACTTTAAGAATTACATTTACAATTGGTATTATATAGACAGTTTTAAATGTTTAAGATATACTGTCAACATTTAACACAAGGTAACAAGTTGTCTTGTTAAAAGTCATGGAAACAAAGTAGGGGACAGAGAAAATAAATATAAACAGAGACGTGAATAGATAAATCTGGGATCTCCTTGACAGCGTCACTAGGACAGCGCAGCCAGGCAGGCTGGCATTGTTTGGCACTGGGAGATTGAGTCAGGCAGCTGTGGAGTGCTTCATCAGCAAAAGCAGTTTCCAGCCCAATGTCCAGGGACAAGGGATGACAGCGATGACAGACATGGTGTCCTAGAAGCTGAGACGGTCTTCGCTGTCACCACGACCTTATAGCAAACTGTTGTTATTAGTGCACAGTGTGTGGAGATCAGCACGTAAATAAAGCAGGAGCAAGAAACTATAACCTATATGAAATCAAATGTCGATTCAGTGATGCAAGCTTACATCTATTCACTGGAGTCATGGCCTGCCATCAGCCTTCTGTTATTGGTAACAACACAGAAAAGCATTGTTTGAAAAAAGTCACAAAACAACAAACACTCATTCACAGGCAGCATCTTCAAGCTTCCTAATGGGTCTTAACTGCATCACAAGTACATAGGAACTAATTATTTTCACATATCCCTACTTCCTATCCTTTTTCAAGACATACGCATATACACAGGTCAGAACAAAGCTTGAGGTCAGAGCACAAGGTTGGCCATTTATCCCCTGGAACACACTTCAGAGTGAAGGGCTTTGCTCAATGGCCCCAGCCTCCATGTGATTATTCTGCCAACCGCAGGATTCAAACTCACAACCTTCTGTTCATATACACAGAGGCCTAACTTGCCAAGACACACACCACCAACAATGTGCCAAATACACTAAGAGTAAGTGTTACAACTTTCGAGACAAAGGACTCGGGGGCAGGTGTTTTTAATGAACCAAAAGAGGTTTTCTTGAAATAAAATGAAACAAACAGAGACTAGAAAGAAACAGGACCGCAAGAGATCAAAACAAGAGGAATACTAAGAGGAAGGACATGGGCTGACAGTAGAAGCAACATTAATGACCAGACTAGGGAAGACAAGACAAACAGGTACTTATATACAAAGACTAACGAGGGGCAACAAACATCAGATGTGGCTCACGGGGTCTCATGAGGGAGGAGACAGAAGGGTTAGGCAGGCAGAATGTAACAGTAAGTCAGAACTGAGAATCGAACCCAAAACCCTGGAGATTTAAGACTACGGTATTAACCAAGGGCAGTGTTTTACTTAAAAGAGGCAGTGAAGTTAGTTAAAAACAATAGCACTTGGCTACAAATCTAAAGGAAATTCTGTAAAATATGAATCCTCTCAATATCATAGGTGCTGTATACTGGTTTGTTATGTAGTAGGTGAAATATAGCGTAGGGAGTGAACAGTCCTCAGCATGTATGAGAGAGTAGGTGAATAACACCTAGATGACATTCTGCAAAATTCTGAAGTGTGCATCATATGGATGCTTCTCAATCCCTCTATCCCACTGGAGTTGCAACCAGAAATGAAAAACATCACTTGCTCAGAATTTTGTGTCAGGATGGCCGAGTAAGTGCCATCTCTGTACAAACTGTAGAAAACAATACCCAGCTAAATAAGTTGAATCAAATATGTTTTTTATATATGTAGCTTTTAACAGTTTATAATGTTTGTGGGCAAGATGGGGACAACAGTATGTCCAAGTGCATGTGTACTGTTCTCATGCATACATACAGTACTCACTATAGTAAAAGTTGAGTAGCCTTTAACTAAATTCAGTATGTACTGTGTAAGTTGAGATTTTGGAGGCACCCATAGTGTTGGTGGTGGTCATCAGCTGTTAGTAATTGTATACCTACCTGATTAAGTGAGCAGCTGCAGGTAGTGGACTGATCAGCCTTCTGATTGGTTGCTGGAACATGAGAGCAATGCATCTCGTGTATTGATAGCTGCAGTGGTGATCGCAAGTTGTCATACTGTTGTTGACTTTGAGAAACATTACTGTTACTGCATGTATGTTTATTCCAAAGCCAGTGGAACCATCCATTTGCTTTCTTTCAAGACAGTGACAGCCATTTTCATGGAAACTACATGTTTTATCTCATTCCTCCTGTATTTTTGAGTATCTGTACAGCAATCAGTTTCCATTTCTCTTCTCCTGAAGCAACTTCCAGTGAAACAGAAGCCCAGTACAGTATTTACATATGTATTAAAATTAAGAAAAATTTCTTAATTCACCAATATCTTCTTAAGAATTCTCTTAAATTTGTTCCTACAAAACTTAAGAACAACCTACGTCAGATTCATGATGTGTTCTTAAGCAGCAGAATTGTTCGCACCTGTGTTCTTAAGAATGATGAATCCCACGTCTTCGTAACTGAAAGCACATGCCAGTTTGTCCTAATTAATATAGGGAAACGCCCTACAATTTCCCATAAAAGGGCATGAGACTGTAAGGCCGTGTGCAAAGGATGGGGAAGAGACGCGCAGGCCGTGGGCCGCTTGGCACTAAGAGGAAAAAAATCTTCAGTAATGATGAAGTAGAAGTATTAATAAATGCAAATAGACACATATTATTTAGTAGCGTAACCAGTGGATATAAAGCCCCCAAGAAAGCTGAGATATGGAAAGATATCACCTTCGCTGTGAACGCTGTGTCTGGAGAACAGCACACATTATAGGGGGTGAAAAAGAAATGGTTTGATTTAAAATCAGATGCCAAAAAAGCCATCTCCAGAAATAGGAAATATATGATGACAACTGGAGGGGGACAGGCAGACCCTGAATTATCCAAAATAAACCAGCTCATCGGGGCCATTATTGGCCAGACGGCACTCTCAGGTGTGCCATCTGCGGAGCATTTCGACACTGAATAGGGCCCCATATCAGCAGCTTCTTCTCCAAGGCCATCTCAAACCAGGGAATCAGAAGGAAAGTGGTTCTTCCTGAAATCTCTACAATTCCATGGCAAAATCTAACTGGAAGTTGTAACTGTTGTAAACCGTTGGAAGCTATTTTAGTTTGCAAAACCTAAGCCTAGGTGAAAATTCTCATAGGCGTCCTCATCTAAAAGCCTACTTGGAAACTTTATTGCTTGCACATTGTTGATCAGACTGAAACATCTAAGTAAGTGTACTGCAGTAGTTTTCACATTTATTTGTTTGTTTATTTTTCTCCTTCAGATATCCAACTCGTCTGTGAGGAGCAAGATGGCACCGCTCAGCCTTCTTGCAGTACCGTTTCCTCTGCGCGTGCCGCCCTCAGGTCCTGTCCAACTGCACTTGTAATATCAGATGCGGTCTTAGACATCCAAGAAAAGATTTCACAGACTCTCATTTAGATTGTGGCTACTCTCACCACAATTTCAGAAATACTTAAAGAAATAATTAGAAAGAATAAAGACATTTTAGGGCAAATAAGTCACAAATGTGAAATTATATGCTGTCTAATTTCTACAGCAATCCTGTGTTCTAGACCTAGCAGTGGATCTGGATACACATCTTGGAGTGGTGACTGGGATGAAAGCGGTACGCCCCGTTTCATTGCCATGTTCTGTAACTCACAACAGGCCATGATTATTCTGCAAACCTAAAACAGTGCCAAGATTACCAATGATTAGAAAACGTAATGGAAATTGCAGCAGAATTAGTCAATTTGCTACATGCTCTCCAGTGTCCAAACGAGAATAATACAAGTACGCCCATTCGTGTATATGCACACCTTCTCTGGTGTGTAAAGCAGCTCACCACCTGCTGTGCCCAAACACATCCAGCGTCCTTTCAGGATTCCAATTGTTCGTTTGTTGGTGGAGCGGGCGCGTGCGTGCATCTGGTTGTACGACATCTCCTGGGGAGTCTGGGGGTCCACCAGTGGCATCATTAACCAGGGCGCAAGGGCATACCCTCGATCTCCTAATGAAACGATCCGTTTAATATGAATGATGAAAATGAAAAGAAACCCACATGAGTTTAAAATGGTTGAAATATGCTTACCAAGGAGCCATGCATCTCCAGCAGCTCCTTGTTCTAGGCACATATCCACCGAACTATTTTGCCGTATATGGGAGTCTTGCGCACCCCCTGGGAAGCGGGAGACCACATTCAGTAGATGGTGCTGAGCGTTGCAGATGAGTTGCACGTTAATTGAATGAAACTGTTTGCGGTTGAGGTAGGGGAATGGATCTGGTGACGGTGCCTTGATGCACACGTGAGTGCAGTCTATTGCCCCGATGATGTTAGGTAGACCGGCAATAGCATAAAACCCTTTCTTGACTGGCAGCTGCTGTTGTGGTCTATAAGGGAAGGCTATGTATTTTGTGGCCACCTGATTTATTCCATCCACAACTTGTGGAAGAGCGCGGCTGATGGATGGCTGCGATATGCCCACCCGGTCTGCTAACTCCCGCTGAAATGTCCCAGTGCCTAAATAGCCCAAGCTGCAAAGTACCTGCACATGTGCTGGCACAGGGTTCGACCATCGTGTATGGCTTCCCACCGCAGGATCCATTGCAAAGTCACACAACTCAGTTAAGACTGGTCTTGGTAACCTAAACCTTGAAATTAAGTACTCATTAGACTCCACAA